TTATTCATAATTTTAGAGACAAAAATTTCTGCAGCGACGACTACCAAATGACTGTAGTTGAACAACAGGATTTCGCTCCAAAAATGTCCTAAATTGTTGTGGAATTTATTTAAAATGTTTCTAGTACTTATATCGTTTAGAGGACGCCGAAAATAGTATCCTTCGAGTTAATTCGGTCGGTGAATGGTCGGTCGGCTAATTATTCATAACGCTAGAACACTGTCCTTATCTCTGGTTTTTTGTCCCTGAGTATTCGTCCGATCATTCCGTTTAATATGAAACTAAGTTTACCGACGGTAACAGACGTTCTTTTTTTCCCAATTATGTGTATAATTTCTAAACTTGGCTTGACAGAGTGCATCCGAAGCCGAATACCTCGGCGGCAACCTTATCTTCGCCCGTATCAAGACAATTTATTTTATGCATCAGGTTTATGCATCTCGCATCCCATTTCAGATGCTATTTTAATCTGAACCGTGCATCGTCGGCTATTTTAAATATTCTTTTTTTTCCACCGGATTATGCCGCATGCTTGCCGGCTGCCAAAGATGTTCATTCGTCTCTGAGCCGCGCATTTAGATCTTTGACCAAAGACAAGAAAATATGCTGTTCTCGTGGTTCAGCGAAGCAAACGCATTGATATTTATCGGATTCCCTGCGCTCTTCCACCGTGGCGATAATTAGTCTCATAGTTATTCGTGGATCATCGTGAACTCGCGGTATTCGCGAATTTTTAGAAAAAACAAAATATTAGGGAATGTTTACGCGACGAACATCGACGGATACTTTTACTACTTCGTCCATGCTGTCGTTGAATCCTTTGTTCTCTTTCGGTAGAATATTTTCAGAAAATAAACGGATTTGCATAGAGATACGTAATCTAAGGATTTATGCGATGGATAGATTATTCGTTCGCTTCTTTGCTGCACGCTTAGATATGTATCCATCGGTTTCTCGAAGGAAATGTGCCACAGAACATGAGCAGAATCATCATTCTGAGATAAAGACATTGTTCGTTTAAATAATTCTCTATTAATCACTCTAGATCATTATTGTTGTTGTTGTTATTATTATTATAATATAAATATATATTATTATGCAGCAAAATACAATTGCGTTTACATATCGTGATATTTCTGTGAATTATCTGTGACACGGGTCTACGTTGACAGCAAGAGTGGCATAATTTGTTGACGGCCGGCGCACGGTAACAATAATTCGATTCCGTTGGGAAGAATTAATGAGGTACGAAGGCCAATCTTGTTTTTTGTCGGAGTGGAATGCTGTATCTTGTTTGCACGTACGCGATAGCCGCTTCGAAGACGAATTCAACGACCTGCAACACCGAGACCTTCAAGGTCACTGAAGGTCGTATAAAAACATTTTTCCGTTGAACCACAGGGCCCGGTTTAGAACGCTAAAAATAGGGTGGTTTTTGCTATTTGCTTCAGCGCTATAACGCGCGACTCCGCTCGGGACTTGATGGCAGCATCGTTTATATGTTGCGAGCAGTTTATAAACAATTTCTCCTTTCGGCGTTTGTATTCGGAATTTTTGTCGGAATCATTTTTCTTGTAAAATCCCTGTAATTTGTTCGTTTGATATTGTTTAAACTTTCCGTGTTGGTCGAGCGTGGATAGATATTCAATAAATCAAACGTTAAATAGCGTTACGGATATCGACAAATATGACACGTTGAAAAATTGGAAAAACAATATGTTACATCGCGGCTGCATGTAAACGGTGTTTACGCTGATTAGAGAGACCGAGCACTTTATTCGGCCGGGGGACAATCGTCGAAAAATGTTAAAGTGCACGCTTATGCAGCGTCACGTGTTACCGGTTATCGAGACAGAAAATTGGTGGTCAATAGGGCACCTAATTGCCGAAGTCGTAACATTTTGTTTTCTCCCACCAGCACAATTCACCGTTTTATTAATACATGGATCGCTGTTACCTACAATCCAGTTGAAGAAACAAATTCGAGTAAGTAATCGGTTTAAGAGCAATCAAGGACGACTTAAATGTTCAACCCATAAAGCAAATTTAAACGTTGTTCTCGCGGAGAAAATTGAAACGTTGAACCCCTAAAGAAATGTTGAACTCTCGAAGAAAATGAGAATCGTGTATCTGTAAAGAGAACTTAAAAACTCTGAACCGTCCGAAAATTTGAGAAAGTACGCGTTGAACGAAGTTATACAATGTTCAGTGCATCATTTTGCAGCACTATGTTGGGAAACTGTGCACTGGTGGAAAGTGGAAACGAGGCGAGCAATGTTTGGTAATCAATTAATAATAAATGTTTCTTCTGTATCGAAGTTCGTCCAGTGACTTTACCGTTCGTCGTTTCGTCTGAACATTTTTTTACCGTAAATATGCAGACCTATAAGTTTTATAAGTTTCGTGAAAGACACGCGGATATGACATTGAAGGGCAATTACTGTTGTAAAAGAGAATTTGTAAAATTAAAATGTGCATTTTTGGCTCGTTTACCCGCTAATATTCATGCAATAACGAAAAAAATCGGCCAAAAATAATATTATTAGTTAAACAATACACGTGTGAAGCTAATAATACAAATTAAAAACAAGATTATTTTTGCAACTTCTCTATTTAATTTTATCGTTTTGTATTTTTATATTTTTTTAAATCACGTAGACAACGCTTTATATTAAATCGAAAGCTTTTTTTGTATTTCGACATTTATACGTATACTCTACTCTGATATACGGTAAAGGATTTTCTTGCCTTCAATGTATAATTTATTTAAATAAATAACGTAGAAGTCAAAGATATGCCAGCGTACGAATGTTTTCGTCGCTCACTGTATATGTAATTGCAATAAATGCACCAATTAGGCACGTGAACAATGCGCAGATATCGGTGCGACAAATTGGTGTAATTACTTCGAAGTACAGTGACTCCAGAAAGCGTTTATCGATGTTCGACTGTTCCAATTTTCCAGAAAAGAATGGGCGGTGCACAGCGAACGTCGAAGCTCCGAGCTTTAAAATGTATCCGGGTCTCTCGCACGACTGTTTTTCTCTACGAAATTATAACAGCTCGAATATAAACGAATTTATCGAAGAGCGGGAAACAGTTTGGAAACGGTATCTCGCTGCGAAGGCATTCATATTTTCAGCAGAAGATTAAATACGAAGATTAAATACGGCTCGGCTTTTTCGAGGTTTTCTAGTGACCTAGAAAGGTAACGCAAACAGCAGAAACAAACGTGTCTATTAGATGTTCTGGGATGGTCGCTCGATCCGTGGGCAGTTTTAGCACTTTTACGTGCGTTTAGCAAAGTGTCAATTGCTCCTTGGTAATTAACGTCTCGTGATATCACGAAAAATTCCGCTGACTCTCATGCACGTCAGAGATAGCCGGTTGTTCGTCACGAACAATATTAGATACATCATCATTCGTTCTTTATTGTGAATATTTGTTTATCGTTTCGATAAGCCGCCCCGACAATAGACATTTATATCTATGCAAAATAAAAATTGTCTGCGACCGCCGCATGGAACATTGAGAGACACTTGGGGATGTCTTTTCGTTTCTAATAATTTATAGAACTATCAAAATACCCAACGGCGGATAACTGTGAATTGCCTATAAACTTTGCCTCCCACAGAAACCATCAACTCCTTAACAGTCTCCGTTTACGTTGATCCGCGCGAAGATTTTATTCGATTACTGCTATTGTCGACGGTTATGTTGATTTTTTAGGATTGTAAATTCACTCTCTGTAAACAATCCGAGACCGGCTATCCTGATTCGTCCGATAATTCAGGAAATCCAGCGAGCCGAACAATTAATCGCATCGCACGGAGACTCGCTAATGATTTGTTCGACAGTTAAAATAATCGATTCGCTGTAATCCGTAATGAATAGGCGGAAAGTTTCTTAAAGCAAGCTTAGGAACGTAATTAAAATCGACAGTATCCAGTAAAAAATGCAAACTTACGTGTCCATACAAGATTCTAAATCCGATAATTGTATGTGCAATAATTAATCTTTCAGTTGTACTATTGGGTACGTCAATCCTTCCTTCTTTACGAGTATAAACTATTCAGAATTGTAGTTTTATATAATAATTACGAAATACGATGATTACCGCATCTGAGAAAATCACAAGATCGTAAAAGTATAGAAATATTCGATGCGTAAATAAAATTGTAGCTTCCACTAGTTCCCGAGCTCGTCTTACAATTCTTTTTCTTTTAAATTAAGAAACCAAATCTTCGGTTTTCCAAATTATCCACACGACGTACGCAGGCTAACTGATAATCGTTGCGCAACGATAGTAATAAAACAGGATGACAAGCGTTCGATAAAATATTAATTTTCCTCAATTCAGATTTATAGCCGATCACAGAAAAGCAGTTTTGTTTTCTTAGTTTTTACGTAAGTCTCGAGAAAAAAACAAGTCGCACTAACAAACGCGCGATAAAGCGGCTTTGCAAATATTGTTGGTCCTCTTTTCGTACGTATCTCGAAAACGATCGTGCGACTTTTCGAAAACAGACGAAAAAATCGTTCATGCGGAATTAAGCGAGCACGAAGGAAATAGCAAACAAGATATGTTTTGTTTTCCACAGGAAACATAGCTGTAATCACGTTCACTTTATCCCGCAGCCTTGTACCAAATACCGGAGCATGGAAATTTTGTTTATTCGCTTCAAAATCCCGTTTTTGCATACCAAACCGCATTCAGCAACTATCCGTTCAATGATTTGCTCGATTCAACCCCCAAAATGCTGTTCCATTCGTTCTACAACACAATGAACAGACTGTAGTTATTACGCATTCCAGTTATTTGGACGCTCTTAAAATATGCAATAAATAGATCGCAGATTATTATGCATTTAGAGCATATTCTTTTATCTAAAACTTCGCGTAGAAAAATATCTGGAACGAGTTCAATGAGATCTTTATCTTTAATGAAATCAATTGTGAATCTCGATGAAAGAGACCTAACGTTGCCGTTATGTTTTCAGATCAACTTCGTCAAACGATCTTCAGAATCTCCAGAAGAAAATGACCGTGAAAAGTAAGAAAACAAAGTTGGTCCCGCCGGATGGAGGATGGGGTTGGGTCGTCCTAACATCCGCCCTGGTCGTCAACTTCCTAATCCCAGGAACTGTGAAGTCATTCGGCGTCCTCTTTGTCGAGTTTCTCCACGTCTTCAAAGCTTCTTCCACCGCTGCCTCGTGGATGCCAGCGTTATGTTATTTCTTGTACAATTCCTTAGGTAAACCCGTCGTGTCGCATTTGTTCCTCAGACGTAATAAGAACCTCCACCATCCGATTAGCAACAAAGAAATATCAACCGTTAAACATGGAAATTTCGTTCCCGGAATAGAGCACTCGTTAGTTGGGAATAATCGCTTTGTGTTCGATTGTTACCAGATTGCAAATTTATTCGTTGATTAGCATGCACGATTGCGTGGAACAAAGCGTTCGATATCCGATATCTTCGTTTGCAGTACTGTCACGATATTCTACAACCCGTAAAGTAAAACCTTCGGCTGAATTATATTCTATGGTTATAGTTAAATTTTATTACTGAAAACATTGTATCGACCGTGCGATGCGCAATTAGACAATGGTATTTACACAATTGTGCGACAATATGTTGCAATTGTTGCAACACCGGTTGCAAAATATTTCAGAAAATTTAGGATAACGGAGGTTCTTATTGTATCAATAGTTGCTTGCCATTATCAGCATATTGATGTTCCAACCATTTTCTCTCTTCATCGTGGACACAATGAAGGACAAAACACAAACTAGAATTTCTGTACTGATAATTATACCGAAACATTGTACTCAGTAATCTTCAAAACTTTTATAAGTGACCGCAGAGTGTTGCACGATTAAGAGACAGCAGAATAATCAACGGACTGCAGAATTGATGTATTCGTAACAAAGATGCTTGAAAATATTGTTTCAATTTACCGGAATTAACGAAAGAAGTCTGTGTAGATCTGCAATCTATAAATCACAGACCTGCGAGCAAATTATTCCAGATACTCGTTATTCTTCCATAGAAATTGACACAATATACTTTCATATATGCGGATTGCATAAGACTGTTTTATACCTTCGTTTAATATTATTCTATCGCGGACAAGCAACGTAACACTCTCGGGTCGACATGTAACAGGAAGTAAGGCCCCTCGTGCTAACGCCATGGAAAAGCGTGAATGGCGACGCAATGATACGAAGGTCGTCGAAGTACGCTTATAGAGAAAATACTGCGTACATGTTTAACTATAATTGCCAATATACAGGGAGATTGAAATGGAAACGGTTCGCAGCTGCAAGGGTGTATAGTACTCCAAAAATAGAAGGCAAACGTCCTATTCAGTATGGTTCTAGAAATAAACGTTTCCGAAGTTTTATAAACAATTGTTTGCTAATTTTCTAGACTGACGGGAATACTAAAACGCACGCGTCATTAACACCAAAGAATAATCATAATAACAGGAAAACTGCTAATTTGTATGCGGACAGAGTGCGTCATTCGTAACGCGGATCTATTCTTTTTTATTTTGTTATTATAGTGACAATAATTTATGTGCACGAAGTGTTATATTTCATTGATCGAATGTTAAAGAAGTTTATGGAAAAACTGCTTAGGATAAAGTTGAATTATACGAAGGGACGTAAATTCGTTTCTTAAATGGAAATCTAGAATTTTTCTTTGTTATCTTTAAAGTGCACAAAAGGAAGAATCCAATATCTCGACCAAAGTACTATCCACCTTTAAAGCTTCGATTCGCCCTGTAGAAAGTTAATGTTCACTTTGTACTTTGTTTGCGAACACTTTCGTCCTTCATTGTGTAAAGAAAAATGATAAAAACATGTTTTATAGGTCCCTTATCGAGTATCTTGTCCACAAAGTACTCCTACAAAACGGTAACCATCGTCGGTGGCGCATTCGCGGCTTGCGGAATGATGTCGAGTTACTTTGCGAACTCGGTTTCCTACTTATACGTTAGGTACGATCTTAGAATTGATCGGTACACTTCAAAATCACAACCGAAAAATTCGAAAAATTATAGTTTTCGTGAAGCGTGTGATCAAGATTCTTAAAACTTACAGAGTGTTCCAATTAAATCAAATACAAGTGGTTGAATTCCCCAATGCATAAGCTTTCGTTTGAGTATACACAAGCCGATATTAATTGACTCTTGGTTGACGATAGCCGGGTCGGTTTTTACCCAGACCATCAAAACTTAAATAATGAAAATGTTTTTTATGAGCAAGTTAATTGAAACACTCAGTATACCTATATAGGAGACGACGAAGGAACAATTGATTAAGGATAAACATTTATTTTACAAATACAGCTATGGCTTGATGGTCGGAATCGGTGCTGGATTGACTTTCCCGCCAACGGTGTACATCGTGACCGCTTATTTTGAAAAGCTTCGAGGTTTCGCCAACGGTCTATGCATTTCCGGTAGCGCAATCGGTACCATCGTTTTGCCGCCATTTTTGCAGTATCTACTCGACTGTTTCGGATACAGGTAATCATGTTATTCTATTNAGGCAAACGTCCTATTCAGTATGGTTCTAGAAATAAACGTTTCCGAAGTTTTATAAACAATTGTTTGCTAATTTTCTAGACTGACGGGAATACTAAAACGCACGCGTCATTAACACCAAAGAATAATCATAATAACAGGAAAACTGCTAATTTGTATGCGGACAGAGTGCGTCATTCGTAACGCGGATCTATTCTTTTTTATTTTGTTATTATAGTGACAATAATTTATGTGCACGAAGTGTTATATTTCATTGATCGAATGTTAAAGAAGTTTATGGAAAAACTGCTTAGGATAAAGTTGAATTATACGAAGGGACGTAAATTCGTTTCTTAAATGGAAATCTAGAATTTTTCTTTGTTATCTTTAAAGTGCACAAAAGGAAGAATCCAATATCTCGACCAAAGTACTATCCACCTTTAAAGCTTCGATTCGCCCTGTAGAAAGTTAATGTTCACTTTGTACTTTGTTTGCGAACACTTTCGTCCTTCATTGTGTAAAGAAAAATGATAAAAACATGTTTTATAGGTCCCTTATCGAGTATCTTGTCCACAAAGTACTCCTACAAAACGGTAACCATCGTCGGTGGCGCATTCGCGGCTTGCGGAATGATGTCGAGTTACTTTGCGAACTCGGTTTCCTACTTATACGTTAGGTACGATCTTAGAATTGATCGGTACACTTCAAAATCACAACCGAAAAATTCGAAAAATTATAGTTTTCGTGAAGCGTGTGATCAAGATTCTTAAAACTTACAGAGTGTTCCAATTAAATCAAATACAAGTGGTTGAATTCCCCAATGCATAAGCTTTCGTTTGAGTATACACAAGCCGATATTAATTGACTCTTGGTTGACGATAGCCGGGTCGGTTTTTACCCAGACCATCAAAACTTAAATAATGAAAATGTTTTTTATGAGCAAGTTAATTGAAACACTCAGTATACCTATATAGGAGACGACGAAGGAACAATTGATTAAGGATAAACATTTATTTTACAAATACAGCTATGGCTTGATGGTCGGAATCGGTGCTGGATTGACTTTCCCGCCAACGGTGTACATCGTGACCGCTTATTTTGAAAAGCTTCGAGGTTTCGCCAACGGTCTATGCATTTCCGGTAGCGCAATCGGTACCATCGTTTTGCCGCCATTTTTGCAGTATCTACTCGACTGTTTCGGATACAGGTAATCATGTTATTCTATTATTATTATTATTATTATTATTATTATTATTATTATTATTATTAGTGAATAGTCAATATAGAAAATGTTTACTTTCATAAATTACGGTACAGAATAAATCAATCTTGTTATAACAGACTTAATATGATTTCATAAGGTGACAAATAAATATACTATTGCCCAAAGCTATTGTTTATTTTAATTAAAGTAGCCTACTAAAACTTATGTTAGTGTTATAATTAATTATTTAGATTATTAGTAAATGTGGCGCATTTAAAATAGATTCGCACATGCGTAATGAGTTATAGATACTGTCCATGTGCAGTGAAGATGTCCTAGATGGCGGTATATAAAGAGCCTGCGAAATTCAAACTCCGGTCTAAAATTACTTTTAATAATAATTTGCGCTACCATTTTACGCTTAGGCTTATCGTCTCACCGCTCAGGACAAAATTAAAATATTTCAGGTTTTTAAACTTTTGCAACTGACTGTACGTTGTTAAGGACACTCAAGAAAAATTATTTATTGTTTCCATGAAATAATGACGGTCACACTATTCATTAAGAATCTATTAAAACTTTTACGCTCGTCCAGTATTTACATATAGCACATGTTCTAATGATAAAATAAGTGCATTAGCAGAAAATAATCTATGTTACATTATCCGAGAATGATAACGTACAAAAATGAAATAGTACTTTTCTGGAACAATTGAAAAAAAAATGTAGTTACGTGACACGGATATAAAATTTTAGTAATTGTATCTTAATGATTCTCTAAGCTAAGGCATATAAAATCGTTTCTTAAATGATTGAAAGCGATTAATGATGATTTTTTAAGGATACTCTAAACTAATTACATCAACAGTTCTGACAAGTCTTTTTTATCATTCAGGGGTGCTGTATTAATAATGGGTGCAATTACACTAAATACATTAGTCTGTGGCTTACTATACCACCCTGTGGAGGAACATATGATTTCTGTGCCTGTGGAAGAAGGAATTGATAATGATGCATTATCTATAGATGAACCAGCCCTTGATAAAAAGGAGACAGGTAATTTGCCAAGATTAAATACTATATTCTATGATAGTAAAAATGTATACAATGCTTATGATTTCTTACTATTTACTTATAGTAAGTTTGGTACTTTCTTATGTACATTAATATGTATTTAAATCGTAGTGTTAAGCGTTGACAATGAAACTCAATCGAACGATGACAAGAGGCTCAAGGAAGAAGAAAAACTCGAGGATGAAGATTCTCAAACAACCAGTGACTCTAAAGAAACTGATTGCTCAGAATATAAAAATGAAAGCTCACTCGAAGACAAAGAGAAAGAGATAGAGAAGGGAGATACCTGTAATTCAAGCGATAAGGATCTCACCAAAGAAAAAGGAAGTGTTTTGAACTATGAAAATGCAAGTGTATTAAGACGTGGAAGCACTGTATCAGAGTCCAATGTTACGGATAACAAGAATGGAAGTTCAGAAATGAAAAGGTATTCGCAAAGCAAGAGTAAAGATGAAAAGGTTCTTGAAAGCCCTAAGAAAAGTTTAGGAGAACTATCTGAGAAATCAGTATCCAAGGTATCGTTATCCAAGGTAGAGGAACCAGAGAAATCACAATTCTTCGATTTAAGTGTACTTAGGGATCCAATTTATTTAGTAATTTTGATTTCCAATACTACCTCAGCGATTAGCAATACCAATTTTATGATCTTACTGCCTTCTTATGCCATCTCACAAGGCTTTGACAGGAATTCCTCTGCTTTACTTCTGTCGGTGGTCTCTGCTTTTGACCTAGTTGGAAGAATCAGTGGTGCTTCATTGTCGGACATTAATTTTGTACCAAAGTATTACTATTTTGTTGGTGGTCTCGGTACTAGTGGACTAGCTTTGGCGCTATTACCCATGGCAACAAGTTATGCTATGCTTTCGTTCTTTTGTGGACTGTTTGGACTATCTTCTGGTATGTATATTGGTATTACAACAGTGATTCTGGCGGATATGCTTGGTACTGAAAAACTTAGCTCATCGTACGGTATATCATTGTTTGTTAACGGAGTCCTTCAACTTGTTGGACCACCTGCCTGTGGTGCCATATTTGAAACTGTAGGTTCGTACAAACCGATCTTTTTGGCATTTGGTATTATACTTATTCTTGGCACTGCATTATGGGCAGTTGTACCACTTATAAAACGAAAGAATAAAAAGGATATACAATCTGTATAACAACGTAACACCATTAGTATTATATTATGATATTGTATACAGAATCTTAAGTGCCTTTACAAACTGTGAAGTATTTTAGGTTTTCTAATAATCGTATGAGGATTGCTATCCGATTAAGAATTTATCAGGAAAAAATATTTAATTCGTTTCACTCACTTTATTTTGATTTGTCAAACTATAAATTAGTCTGTCAATTAAAGGTGTATAAAATAGCACTTTAGAATATAATAGTATTATTTCACGAATAATGACATCACTGTTGTGAAAGTGTATACATAATTACAGTAACTACAATTCCATGTACATTAACAGTACTAAATAATTTACAGTTTACTTATTAATATTAGTAATCTATCTAGGAGAGAAAGTATCTGAAGGATAACTGAAAGATAAAAT